GAGTATTACTGTCCGAATAAATGTACAGGTGTGTGAACAACATAAATATTGTAGTACAGTATAAATTATATGCATAATTGTGATCGTGTTTCTTTTAGTATTGGAACATTTTGGTAACAGGCTTTTTTTTTTTTATTAAGTGATGGTTACATAAAATAATACACATACGACGTGTCATATAAAATGTGTATCACGTTTTTATTCTTTCGTAGCGTGAGAAAAATACTTTTAATCAGTAGTCTCTATCTTTTTGTAATACACTTCATACTATACGTGTATGTTATTACTTGCAAACCACTAAAAAAATAAAAATAAAAATGTCTAGAATTTGAATTATCATAGTATTATTTTTGGGTTTTATTTGTTATGTGTTCAATTTTTTCGCTTGTAACGGTTTTTGTTTTGAGTAAACACTACGTCGATTGCGTCTATTATATTCAGCATCCGCAGGTTTATTTAAATTGATTATAATACACACTAGATTATTATTACCTGAGCAAACATTTTAAGCTACTAGGACAAAATGGTTTTGCAACTATAGCGTTTGAAATACTTGCTGTTTTTTCAATTTTAATATTTTAATGTTGAACCAACACATTTTAATCTTTTAAAAGACATACAATTTTTCTAAAAATATTTTTAACATAATTTCATCCATGATTTAAAAATATCTAAAATATTTTTAATGAGTACATGGACTTTTTAATTTATCGTTTGTTTCAAAAATGTATGGCGATTTATACGATTTTATTTCATAGTAAATTATAATAATAATGAGATGTATCAAGAACTATTTATTTTTATTACATTTTTATAATAATATTTATTTTTTAATTCACGGTGTAGTTATATTAATTGAATAATTTGTATTCCTTATTCTTAAAAAGTTCAAAAAGTAACATAAGTTATGCTAATCTTCTCAAATTATATAAATTAAATTATATTTAAAGTAAATCCTCAAAAATGTGTACGGTTGATCACTTAAATATTTGAGATATACTATACTTCTCTCATTTTTAAAACATATTTATTTTTAATTTTATCTAAATTATCTTTAATATAGATATACATTTTTCAAAACAGTTATCAACAATATTATAAAAATGAGTTTTAAGATAGGGTTTTTATTATTTATTAATACGTTAAAAAAAAATTAAGATATTAAGTTTAAAAAAAGATAGAAATTAATTATGATTATGTTATGTTATAGCTATTATTTTATGGTATAAAATAGTGGTGGCAAATAAGAATACTCAATAAGAATAACTTTTAAATTCAATTATATTGGTCAACGTTAATAATAATTTATCTCCATCTTCAGTTACATTAATATACATACATACAGTGCCTCTAAGAATGGAAAAGGTTACATTGGGAAAACAGGATTTTCTTGGCATGTCTTTTCTTATAATTGTAAATTGTTGCCCCTAAATCTCTGTATATGGTTTTTAATTTAATTACATTTAAGAATTATTTTTGTGTTTCAACAATTTTGAGAGTTTTTAGTTATGCTATACTATGCTATACTAAATATACAGTAGTTATACAGTATACTAGTAAGTTAAAAAATTTAAATATTATGTTTATAATATAAATATTAATTCTAATATTAATTAGTTACATATACATTTTCATACTAATTAATTTTAAATGTATTTCTGTGTTTCATTTTAATTGGAACGGAAAATATTGTTTTGAAAATACACGTACAATATAAGTTTTATTGCCATTATTTCAATGGAATACTTGAATCATATAAGTTTGGGATAATTTAAAAATATTCTAAACTCATTCATTCTTAGTTCCTTGTACGTATGTCAGTAAAAATTAAAATACTTAGCATGACAATCACTAATCAGATATGATGATATTGAAGTTCAAAAATTATATTATATTATATTGTACATATGTCTTATATTAATCGATGACAGTAATCTTATGATATCTCTTCTCAAACCTCAATTATAAATTGAATATTTTATACATTCCTCAAACAAATATACGTCATTTAGGTTTATTTTGACCAAAGATTATTTAATAAAACTACAATCAGGCATGAACAGTTCATTCCGGATAAAAAATCTCTCCCAAGCAGAGGGTGCACCATTACTATAACCAACAGTATAAACCAGCAACGTTTATATAAAAGTCATAAAGATAAAATACCGAATTCTCATCAACACACAGGCACGTGACAGTATATAAACCATCATATTATCATACGCATTACAAATCAGTACGTACATATGACTATAACAATATACGTAACTATAACATGTTCTCTTATGCAAGGGCGTAAGTAAAAATTATTTATGGGGAGGGGGTTGAAGTATTTAGATAATAATTGCTTTTATTATTACCTATTTATTTACTAGATGTGATTTTGGCAATGGGATAGGTTGAACCCCCAAAACCTCTCTCCCTCATACATACGTCACAATACTTGTACTTATTTAAATCCAAATGCACATTGTTTGAAGGATAATATAATCATTGCGTTTGTTCGAAAACAGAGCAAGTTCGTGATTAATTTTATTCTGAAGTCCTGGCCGATGCTGTAACATAAAAATATTGAGTGCACAATAAAACGTCGCGCCATCTGTTAGCCTAATGTATACGTTGTCTATAAACAGTTATAATAGTAATTGTCTACATGAGAACATAGGCGTATACAAACCTGTATTTCAGAGGTTACCTTTTATACTTTTGTGCCCCATCTTAATAAAACGTGTAGGTGTATCTAACAAATTATAATGTGTAAATAATTGAATAATTAGAGCTTTTATTTTTTATTTAATAATATACCATAATATATAACAATATTTCATATCTTATGATAATAACTAGGGCTGGGATTTTGATGCAAATGCATTTTTTTTCCGATGTCCCAACACGTAAGTCCGTAAGCAAAAAATGAATTTCAATTAATACTGATTAATTTTTTTTTTGAATTTGATTGCATTTTATGACAAATTTAACTTATTATGCTAATTGTAGAACATATTTTGCTGTTTTTAAAGCATTTTCCAGAAGTTATCTATACCTACATTTTTAAATATTAGGGTATTTGATTTCGTGGTTCGGCGTTTGTCCAAAACTTGTACGTTTAGTATGTAATCTACTAAATTGATAAACTAATAAATACGAGTATATGTAACTATACGGATAGATATTATAATAATTACCAAATTGCAAAAGTATACAGTTATACAATTCAGATAATACAGATATTATAGATAAGCAATAGGTCAAATTCTAAAATAAATATAATGGAATTCGATTATTAAAACCTTAATTAAAATTGTCTATATGAAGGATAATCAAACGTAATATGTTAAATAGGTACAAGTAAATAAATATTTATTACAGATCATAAATCAGAACAGTAATCCAAAACAATATACCAAAAATTACTAAAATAAAAAGTTAAAATGTACGTACTTTAACCCTTTTACTGTTTTTTTTCAATTTCATTGAAGTGTAATTTTTAAATTAATTAAATTGTAATAATTGAAGAAAAATTTTTCTGCAATATTAACTTGCAGTTAAGCAGATATTATTACTTTAGCATTTGTCTTTTTTTTTTTGTTAGTAAAAATCCACTATTTTTTATCAAAATCGATTTTAAGATCAAGTGATATTATGAAAAATATAAAATTATATATCATTATTGCAGTATTTTTTAAATTCAATGCTAATAAATCACATGATTCATTGAATATTTACAAATTACTTGTTGATTATTTGTGAGTTATGATAAACAAATGAGTAGCGTTACTTAAAATATTGGTGTAGGTATACTCATTTTAATTATTTTTTTGTATCATTTAGTCCTAATGAATTCATATAAAATAAAATAGATATTTTTTTGTGAATTCAACTATAATTATTTTAAATTTTCGAATAAAATATATTTTAATAAACTTAGTATAATTCTTATCAAGCATCGATATAAATTTACATAGGTTTTCAGTTCTTCAGGAAAAATAATTTATACCTCGCTGCAAGTTTTATTATATGAGCGATTACAGTCGCGTATAGAATTACGGATGTATATTGACTATTATATACCCCTATCTAGTGAAAATTATTAACCCCCACCAAAACAATGTCTAGGAACGCCCACGCCTATCATTAATAAATATTATAATTTCAATCTAAATATTTTATAGTTCTATATTATTTATTATTAAATCTAAATAAATTATCTAAATATTTAAATTATTATTATAGTAAATTATTTTTTCGAAAAGATAATGAGTCCCATTGAACAGGTTAATTACACAGCTACTAATGTACATTAAAATACTTTGAAGAATTAGCTGCAAAATTGTATAAGCATTACAATTTATTTTAATATTTCTTTTCTAATTGTATTAAAACATTTTTTTTTTTTTTCATAGCCTTCTATTAAATATATTATAATTTAAAATTTGGTCTGTGTGGCGGATATTAGGGGCGCAATTACCGAAAGTATTGGGTGTAAAATCCCACAGGGGCTTCCAGTTTTGGGATAGAGGTTATTATTATCATTATCAAATTTTCTAGTACCTAGTCTGCATTACTTTGTAGCCGCCGTCAAAAAAACCAAATTATTTTGTATTTTCATACAAATTGAAAACGTATTTAACTTAAATAATTAAAGCATTATTTATAAATCAGCGTAGATAGGTATATACCATATATATAATTTATATGATATAAACATAGGCGCAATTAGAGTAAAAATGTTGAGGGGGAATAACCCCCCCCCCACTTAATTGCGCCTATGCATTTAAAGATATCTTTATATGTCTATGGTATATACTATGGGTTATACACTCCCTTGGCAAAATCCCTAACAACTACTATTACTGAATTTCTATATTGTTTTTACATTTCGCGTAGGAAATCGATTTAAATTTGCTCGCGACACTCCATGAATGCATGAGAACCCTTGTCTCACGACACAACAAACACTATTATCACCTTAAATACCATAAATATTGTTGATAAGAAAAGTATACAAAACGCCAATCAGTTAAATTTCGGACACATTATCGAAAGAAAAAACAAAAATAACAATTTTTAAACTAAAGGCTTGTCGGGCTTGAGCATACGTTAAACTGATTACATGAGTGTTTTGTTTTTTTTTTCATTACGTGTTTCGTATTACGTGTTTAATGTTATGTAAAATAATCGATGACGTTGGATCATTGACACGGACTCGAAACGTTTAAAAACGATTATGGGTTGTGCCTGCGAAAAACAACACGTTACAGTACAGGGTAACAAATATTACGTGCAAGACCAAATCGGACAAGGGTAAAACATTTAACTCCTGTGTAGATTATTGGAAAAAATAAACTCTAATCTGTTATAATGTGGGTTTAAAGTTTGATTCTAATTTGACTCGCGCGTTAAAAGTCAATAATATTATTATACTAATTACTCAATAGATAATAACATAAATTACATAATATAGAACATAATTAAAAATAAATAAATAATTAAAATTACTTTCATTAATGTTTTTGTCGCTTAAAATGTGATACATTATTATTATTATTTGTTTCTTAAACATTTGAAGACATTTTGTTGGATACATTTAAATATTCTACTCTTACATGATCTGTTACAATTATTGTATTATTGTTTAAAATTAGTAATTTGAAGTGTAAAAAATATTATTATAGTTTATTAAACAGTGGCACCGAGCCCTAAAAAAAGTATTATTGTTAAATATTTTTACACTAAATACCACTTATATACCACTCACTACAAATATCATAAGATAGTATGTGTGTATATATATATACACACACATTACACACACATACATACATACATTGTCGACTGCCAGAATAAGAATTCCTAGTGCTAGGATTATCTCATTTATAACTCTTTTGCCTTATTTACTACATTTTCTAAAAACATCACATTAGTAAATTTAGTTTATGTTAAATTACTGTTTTTATATTTTATCCCTACACAAAAACATAGGTAATTCAAAATAAAAGTAATTAAACTTTAAGCAATGAATAATTAAATGATATCGATGGCATTTTGTTGAAAGGGCGTATACCACAAAAAATCGAAAAATGAGTTTTTGGTATCAAAATTTTCAGAAAAAATAGGCGCATAATTTGTAATATTGAGGCGGTTAAAAATGTTAAGAATTATTCTTTATATAGCGGATATAAGTTATCCAAATGCTCTAAAGAATATATATATATATTTTAACGGAGAATTATAAAAGGGCTGTATACTACAAGAATTACTAGTGGTTTTATCGAATAAACTAAGCATTTGAATGATAATTGTTATCAAATTATCAACATGCCTACTATATAAAGGTATATCCAAGATCAACTGACCTTAGCAGTATCATTTTTAAAAATACTATTTTGTTCCTCCTGAACAATTTCAATTATGTGGTATACGCCCTTTCAACAAAACACCATTGATATTTTCTTATTTTTATTATGTTATAAATTATAACACATATCTCACTAGTATTTTAATAAACTAGTATAGTAGTATAGTAGTATAGTAGTTTGGTAAAAATTTTGGTTTATTATATCATTAAATAATTTTGTTTTTTAAATGTTTAGAGGTTTTAGCTCTGTATTTCTTATTAAGAACATGGACAATAAGAAATTTGTATTAAAATGTATTTTTTGTCATGATCAAAAAGATCATGAAAAAGCCTGGAATGAAGCCAAAGTACATCAACTATTACAAAGTAGTGGAAATAAGTGTATCATAAACTTAATTGGATGCGAAATGATTGAAAAATCATCAGAATTTACAAAAACACCTACAGATACATTTCTTATGGTATTACCTCATTATAGAGTAAGGATTCTCAATTAATATTTAATATATTTTACAAATTACCGAGAAAAATATTTTATCATTATTAATATATTCTAGGGTGGATCATTACATGACATTTTAGTGAAATCTAAATACTATATAGATATAAAACGTATATTAAAACATTTCCATTCAATTTGTTCAAGTGTAAAAACATTTCATGATGTATCTTATGCACATAGAGATATAAAACCAGCAAATATATTATTTAATGATAATAATGAACCAGTGATTATTGACTTAGGTGACTACTTCATTAAGAGGTTGTTATTTATTAACTAAAATATGATATGTTATTTTAAGTATTAATGTTGCTTGTAGGATCTGCAGCACCTGCCAAAAGAAGAGTTACTTCAAAAAAGGAAGCACAAGAATTTCTGGATGAAGTGAATGAAAGATGTTCAATGACATATAGAGCTCCAGAATTATTTAATATTGATGTAGATTCTGTTATTGATGAACGAATAGATGTTTGGGTAGGCAGTAGAATATTTAATTCATAAAAAGTTAAATCTATCAAGTTCTTGAAAAATTCACGTTATCTCTTCCATAAAAATTTCACTTTTACATTTTGAAAAATTATAATTTTATAAAAATTATAAGTAATTTATATAAAATAAGATATTTTATTTATAACTTTTTTTGTTTATTTTTTAATGAACAATTTTACATGGTTTATTTATGTCTAATTATTTTAATTAATTTAATTTTAATTATTATTGTTTTGTAATCAAATTACTCCAAAATTTTATTTATATTTCAAATTTTACTCTAAAGGGGAATATAATAGTTTTTTTTTTTTTTTTAATATTCTTTACATTTTTTTATTATTTTTAATCAAATATTAACCTAATCTAATCATTCAATATCCCCATTTTATTAAAATGTTTGTGAAAATTCTGAACTTCATATGGAGTTTATGATTCAGAAAATTCATTTTACACTACATATGTGTACAGTGTTACGGGTAAAAGTGAAAAAGTATTATCAAATATATTATGTTCAAAATGATATCAATTATTTACTACAATTATTTTTTATAATCAATTATTTGCTAATGAATCTATAATAAAATATTTTTTATTTTTTATTTTAAGATTTATGATTTTGATAGTTTTTACATTTGAATTATTAACTTATAAAATATTTAATATATATTTTTCTATAGAGATGGCTATAAATAGTTTATCCATGGTAATAATTTACAAATTATTTAAATTGTATGTAAATTATAAAACAGTCAGAAAACTACAAGTACTAGTGTTTTACTAACTTATATTTTTTATATTAAATTAATAATGTTGCATAACTAAATAGGTATTTTGAAATTTATAATTTTTTATTAAAAAAATATTGATAATTTTTTATTAAAAAAATATTTATAATTTTTTTTTTTTTTTATAATTATCAACAGCAGGGTTATTAGAGTTATTTATTAGATGAATGTAGCTCAATAGCTTAATATATAATACCACAACTTAAAACCAAGAATATTAAATTAAATTACTAATACTTTTGAGAAAAGTATTTTTATAATTGCTAAATATTATAATATATTTGTACCATAAATATTATTAATACTCTAAATGTAAACATTTGATGAAAAGAGAAGTGATTGGAAGTTCATAAATCAATAAATATTATGTGGACGATTGAGTTAGTCTTTTGGTTTTTGATCATATGATTATGCTTGGAGTAGTGCATGAGTTGTTAAGTATCTTATTTTGTCTCATTATAAAGTGCTTATGAGTTAAATTAGTATGGTCGAGTATTGGTCTTTTAATTATCATTTGGGTATGTCTAGGGAACAACAATTTTTAATCTCAATGAGTGAAGTAAGACTTTTTTTCTTAATTTGTTGGTTATAGTGTTACTTATTTTTTATTAATTGAAACAAATTATTTTTTTTTTACTTTGGATTGGTTTATGATATTTCAAGCACTCAATTATAGTTAGTTAAATATGTGGTTATATAATATATATAATATAATTAAATATATAATTATAGTTGTTAAATTATCACATTTAACATGAATATAGTAAACATTTAATTTTTATACTATTATTCTAAAACAATTATATTAGTATGTTTTTAATTGGTTTATTTTATAAATAATATTTGGCAATTTTTGATCTTTATGTATATTATTTTAAACAAAAGAGATTAATTTAAAGTCATAAATATTTGCAAATTTTCCTCTTTGATAATATATGTTTTGAACAATATTCATAATTGTTTATATCATGGATTATATTATATATTAAATGTAATTTGTGATAATTCTTATAGATTGTTCTAAATTTACCATTAATTATTAAATATTGAACTTTAATTTTAGTCACTAGGATGTTTACTGTACGCAATGCTCTACAAAAAATCACCATTTGATTTAGTCTATGAACGTGGAGATTCAGTTGCTTTGGCGGTGATAAGTAGAAATATACACTTTCCTCATAATTCTAATGATGTAATAATATACTTATTTAATGCTTAACTTTCTACTTCATGTTTTTCCTGTTATTTTTATTTTCCAGAGTATCAACAATTTGATAATGATAATGCTAACTGTGGACCATTTCAAAAGACCATTTATTGATACTGTTTTATCATTAATTAAAGAAGTTGATGAATTATTTGACCAAGATTTAAATGAACAACAAATTTTAAACACGAATATTTATAATGTTTAGAAATACATAAATAAATATTAAATACTGAATAAATAAATAAAATTATAATACTTAAAACCTGTTTGTTCTAGCTGTTTAAGTTTACTATGATGTTCATTCTATGTATTCTATCTTCTTCTTTATTAATTAGCTACTATGTTTTATTATGTATAAACTAATATTAATAATTTATGTTTGTTAATTTATGCTTTATTAATTTGATGGATTTATATTATGTCATATTTTATTTTTAATATCACTGAATGATTATCCTTATATTTAATATTCAACCAATTTTCAAATAAATAATGAAATTGACTATAAATAATTATAATTAATGATAATAGTATGAATTATAAATATAGTAATATAATAAAATATTTTTTGCTCTTTGATTATTGAATACCAAAATCAATGTTTTTAAATGAATCAAAAAATGATTGAACATATGACACCTAATTTTTAAACATATATATGTATAATATATTCTTACAATACATTTTTAAGTCAGTGAATTGCACCATACAATATTATCATGTTATCTTTTATTGAAAAATATAATTTTACTCATTAATACTAGTGTAAATAAAAATATTTCAGTATACAAATTAATTCCTATTTATAACCATTTTTCTACCAAATACCAAGCAGAATTTTATAATTAAAACAGTTTTTTTTAAACCTTATTTTGCAAATAGGAATATTTCCTTCTACAAGAAAAATACAAAGTCATTCTACAGAATACATGAAACAGTTTTATACATTCTGTGTTAATACCTACTGTACCAATTGTGAAGGATGTAAATTTTCTGCTACATTAGTATGTACATTAATGAGTGACTAGGCAGATATTAGCAAGAATGAAAAAATTGTACTGCTACCTAACTTTATAATTTTTTAGTTCCTCATTTAATTGGTTTTAATTTTTAGAATATTATAGGTTAAAATATTATAATTGTATAGTATCAAACAGCAGTGTTGGTCTGATCCATCCGTATACCAGGCAATCACCGGGAGCCCTGAGATTTATTCTTAAAATAGGGACTCAACTAGGGGCAGATCCACAGCTAGAGAACTGTGGTTAAAGCTATTTCAAGATACCACTTATTGGAGCTGAAAATGGATTATAAATTTATTCCTTGTAACAAAAAAAACCATAAAATAGTATGATATTTATTTTCTAAGTTTATTCATAATTATCATTGTAAACATTTTTCTTATTTTATGGTATTTGGTATAGAGATGTTTTATTTTACCACAAAATAAATTTAATCTATTCTGTGATTTTACTATACAGTTAAACCAATGGCATCAATTGTAGGGAGGGGAAGAAAATTAGGGAATTAACCAGTTTAGTTTTAACTTTAACTTAGAGTTGGTACACTTAAATAATATAGGAAGTCTTCAAGAAGCTAATTTTTTCAGCAATTATTAACTGTGAGTCAGCTGACCTCTTGAACCTTTTCTAAATTTGCCCTTGGGGCCAAAACAACCACGTGAACATGAAAAATCGTAGTAATTATTTTCCGAATTAAATTAAAATTAGGTTAATCTTATCTTAATCTTGAAATATTGTTGAAATGATTTAATAGAACTAGGTATAACCGATATAGTTAATACATTTTTGTCCTATTGATCAGAATTGAACAAATATAATTTGAAAAATTGAGATAAGTTTTGTTATTGGTCACATACACGAACACAATAATAATTCAATAATATTGGCTTTGGAAAAATATAAAAACAAAAATGAATTAAAATTTGTAGTAGAGTTCGAGCGTAATAAGAAAAACATTTCTAATAGGTATTTAATGAATCTCCTCGAATAGTATATTGTTTAGAGGCCCATTGTTAATTTTTTGCCGGAGGCCCAATCATGAGCCAGACCGACACTGTCAAACAGTTTGAAATTATAAAACGTAAAGTTCTATATATTTTTTTCTTAGTGTTTGTAATCAATAATTCGTTTAAATTAATATCATGAAAGGTTCATATCTTACTTACACAATTGGTATTGGAAACTGGACATGAAACCATAACCAAATATAGGAGACGTTATAACCTTAAGCCTGAACTTGATTTCCATAACAGGAAAAATGTGTTACCTCTTAATGATTTTTTTTTTTCTTAATTTGTCCGTGCCTCCAATACAATTAAAATAATTAATGATTTCTAATCTAATAAGACAAAAAAAAAAAAATTACAAATTTAAAATGTATATAGTTATTAATTATTTGAATTGTATAAGGTATTATATACTATATAGTATAATATTATGCCAATTCACGATCAAAAAATATTTTATTTTAAATCTAGTAGTCCCTACCTGGCTAATCTCAAAATAAATCAAATGCTTACGATAATTTATAAGACACAAACGTCGTACTTCTTCTTTCTTCTTATTGTGGGTTACGGCCTTCAAGACCATCCCTGCAAACAAGTTTGCCGCCATCTTTCCCTATCCTCTGCAGCTTCTCTTCACTTTGTTTTTGGTTCTACTTCTTTATCATCTTTTTTGATACGTTCCTCCCATCGTAAACGCGGTCTTCCTAACGGTCTTTTCCCAGTCGGATTTTCTTTAATAAATGAAAGAGCCCTCTTTCCTCCAGGCATGTCAAACGCCGTACTATCAGACAAAAAATATTGCAAACGTAAATATTGAGTATACGCATAGATATTATTTCTAATATAATGATGTTTCTACGGTAGATGTACATTGACGGAACTTGCGACGTCTCAGTACAGAAAGTTTTGTCGAGCGCCCGTTGACGATTACATTTAAAGGTACATAGGTCGCCAACAAAATACCGAGACCCTTTTTGGGGCTAGAGTAAATAGATTTTGATATTGTATTTAATTATATTATAAAGAAAAGAAAAGGATTATTAACAAGAATAAGATTATGAATAAAATATAAATATAATGTAATACATTTTTTAAATGGTGGAGGAAAGCTCGTACGGGCATAAAACCTCCACCTTATCATAGTGTTTATTCCAAGACATGGAGACATTGTTCAGAACGGATAAATGTAATTAATAATTGATCATTTATCTCGTGAGGGTCGCTGGAAGAATTTTCCGCGCGCGGTCTTACAAAAAAAAATTAGAAATAGTGGATAAAATACCACTGACGAATACCGGTCAAGGTATAATAATAATAATAAGTATATGATTTTTTATTTTTTATAATACATTACCGACCAACTGGATAGTTGGTCGTCGTTCCAAGACGCACCAGCATGGTCCGGTCTACTCGTGCATGTTGTGGAACAGCTGCACAAAAAGTGAGCCAGTATAATATTTTACAGCAATATACGAAAACTGGCTCATTGAAATAATAATAATAATAATTATAATAAATGGCCGATACTCGTTATCATACAATTATTACATGACCACCCACTAACACACCACACACAACTGGATAGAGAGGTGTGCAATTATTGAATGATCGGAGGGAATTCCAAGGTGTTTTCGTCCATCGGCATTATAGGTGATGAAGGGGTTGCACAATTATTTATAATGGTTATAATATTAACTAAGGAAAACCAAACACAGATACTCATCTATTTTTTAACCATTGTGAACTACAGGATATACCTGTCTAGATTTAATTAAACTTATCGATTTGGAACTATAATTTCTATCACGAAAGAAAATGAACAGGATTTTATTTTACTACACAGTGGTATCAAATATTTCTTAGTGATTACCTAATATTTTCCTCTGCTCTCTAGAAGCAATAATATTTAAATGTACCTTGTAACGTTTTAGAATTAGGTATACGTTCGTACAGTATAGATTAGCTGATCTGTACATTGATACGCACGTTTATTTTATTATACGTCCCACGAATCATTCCTACTCTCTCGGCGAGAATGAACGCATAAAATGTCACGAAGCGCCATGCACCTATCCGACTTGCTTTTTGGACAATTTTCATTATTATTTCCTGTTGTTATTATTCTCATTATTTGAGATGTCGGCCAAAATCAATCTTTCAACGACACCTACGTAACGGGACTTTATGAGACCCGTATAATGTTCATCGACACTTACTTTTTGTTCGTAGTACAATACACAACTTGAGCCAGTGACGTACGAATCCGACACGTTCAATAGACGACCCACGGAGACACGTGAATACGCCGGGTAATTTATACCAGTGTTTTCTAAACTTTATGCTATGGCAGACCAAAAATGTCCTTTATGTTGGGTAGATGACCCTCAAAAAAAAAAAAAAAAAAACCTAGTATGCTTTAATATAATAAGTTATCTAAAATGAAATATGTAAGTTGTTTGACCCATGGATCACAAGGGTTGCGGAAGAGATTCGAAAACACTTCTCAAAAGTAGATCAATTAATATCTTATATAAAAAACATATTTACGAAATGTTCATCACGTTTTCAATATTTCAAGGAAATGGCACCTAATATGCCTGTACCATCACATACGGTATTGACCAGTTGAAATACATGTTAGCTATGCACTACAATATAATATATTGTATATATAGCTTATATTATAAGCTGCTATTTATTTTTATGGACATTTTGAAAAGTATTATTTTGTAACCAAACAAAGATGATTCTACGTCAATTGAAAATTCACAGGATTTTATGAGCGATAATAATGTAAAACGTAATTTAATTTACATTAACGCTAAATTTAGAACTCTAACCAATTCTATTACCAAGTTAGAAATTTCAGGACTCAATCTCTACAATTCAATAACAATTATTAAAGATATTAATAGTACAATTTTGAATAATTTATAAGTTTTTATAATTTCTATTTTATAAATAAATAAAAAAAAAAATTATTTTTATTAATTTTAAACCATAATTTGTAATTTTTAAGTTAAATTTTTACGATCATTTTTTTCATTTATATGTCATATTTACGTTTTTCTATTCTTCATTTTGAAAATATTTTAAGGTTATCAACTTCTGAGCATTAATAATAACATTACTATTTTTATATTAATAATTTATCTTAATATTATTTTAATTTTATAATCATTTTATTTTAAGGAAACTTATCATGTACGCAATACTGCAAAAACTGATATA